CCGCAGATGGCTGAGCATTGGATGCTTCAAGGCCAAGCACTGTTTGCTCATTGCACCACTTTGGCTTTTTTATCATCTCCGCAGAGACCCCGATCACCCCGGTCAGGTGAAACACGGAGGTAAACTAGTTGTAATGCAAGTATCGTATCGCACATTTTATACACCGCTCCGTCCTGCCGCTTTTACGCTTCCCCCATTCGTCAACCTTGGCAGCCGCGACCCATCCACAGGCGGCGGCAAGAACCCAGCCGCGACCAGCCACGCAATGTACAGCCCCATAAGCCCCTCCCCGACCGTCCTCACCACCTCCCCCGAATGCTGCGCCAACAACGCCCTCGTGTTCGCATCGTCCAAATCCGGCGCCTTGGTGCTCGTCGGCAGATCGTCCAGCACGAAATGCAGCAGCGGGAACAGCGCGTTGTCCTGCACATCCATCACGTGCTGCTCCAGCTTCCGCCGCCACACGACGTACTCGCACGACGCCGTCGCGTACCCGTACCGTTTCAGCGCAGACAGCATGCTGTTGAACGTCGGCAGCGGCCGTGCCGTGATGTGCAGCACGCTCATCGATGCGTCCCGCAGCGGCGATATCGCGGAGAGCGTCGTACACAGCGCGACGTGGTCCACAGGCACCATGTTGATCGTGTTGTTCATATCAGGCACAAGTCCAAGCTGAATACACCCCTTGACCAATCTCCAAATAAAGTCGTCCGTGTTTGTCACTTTCCCAGCGTCAGAATCCTCCCAATACACCAACGACACAAACTCACCTGCGGAGCGCGAGTCGCCCACGACGTATCCAGGGCGCACAATGTGTCCGCTGAGGCCCCTTTTCCCCGCTTCGAAAAGCAGCTTTTCAGACACCCACTTGGTCTGGCCGTACCCCGTCTTGAGCGACGACCGCGCGCCCTCCAGGTCGTCGTTCTCCGGCACACCGCAGTACGGCGACCCCCCGCGCCCGCACGACAGCGACTCGGAGAGCTGCACGTAGTGATCCGTGTCCACGGCCGACGTCGACGACACAAACACCAGATTCTTGGGCTTCCCCGTCGACGCGAGCGTGATCGCCGTCAGCGTAGCGATAACATTCGCCGCGCGCAGCTTTTCATACGGATACACCCAGTGCACCTAGAGAAAAAAATCAAAATAAATCTCAACCCACGCTTGCTCGTCAACACTCACCAGCGCCCCATTATGCACCACCACATCCGCCTCCCGCGCAACCCTCTCCCACTCCCCCTTCCCCATCCCAAACATCTCCATCCCCAAATCCCCCTTGACAACCTCGACCCGCCCCTCCCTCACCCACGCCTCACTCCACACCCCCCGATCCCGCGCCGCCTCCCTCAACCGCTCCAGCCCGCGCTCCGCGTCGGGCGCACGCACGAGACACACCACCCGCGCGACGCGCGACCGCGGCTGCGCGAGCAGGTCGCGCAGCACGAAGGCGCCGAGGAACCCGGTGGCGCCGGTGAGGAATACTGTTAGCTTGCGCGTGGGGAAGTCCGGGGGGAGCGAGGGGTAGGACGCGGCGAGGCGGGAGAGCAGCGCGTCGTAGTCCCGGCCGTACTCCGCGGCGGCGGCACCCGCTTTGTCGCTCTCTCCCTCGCTCTCCCTTTCGCGCGCGCCGGGGGATGGCGCCGCGGGGGCGCCGGGCGGCTCGAGCCCGAGGTCGGCGTTGCGCAGTGCGTCGACGGCGCGTACGAGGCCTTTTATCGTCGGTTCGTCAAACACGAGTCCAAGCGGCGCGTTGACGACGAAGACCTTGCGGATCTCGAAGATGAGCCGCGTCGCGAGGATCGAGTGGCCGCCGAGGTCGAAGAAGCTTTCGTCGCATGGGATGGGGTGTGGTGCGTTTGGCAGGAGGGTGCCCCAGATCAAGCGCATGGTTTCTTCTGTTGAGGAGGAGGAGCCGGAAGAGGCTTGCGGTGCGCTCGGGGCGCTCGCTGCGCTCGCTGTGTCGGGGAACGGCAGTGCGGGTTTGTCGATTTTCCCGTTTGGGTTTAGAGGCATGCGGCGTAATGGGACGAACACTGTCTTTCGTTTAGTTTCGTCTGCACTTCGAACTGAGCGGAATGCTTACGCGTGGGCACGCTATAACTCGGGAGCTTCTTCTTCAAATGCTCCCTAATATCCTTAATAAGCCTCCGATACTTCCTCATACCCCTCGCCAACCCCCTATCCTCCTCCTCCTCCTGCACATCGCTCGCATACGCCGCCAAATCCGGCGTATCCAGCGGCACGAAGTAGCTCACCAGGATCTTCTCCTCGTCCTTGTCCCTCCTCACCAACGTAACATTCTCCCGCACGAGCGCATGCTGGCTCAGATGCGTGTCGATCTCCCCGAGCTCGATGCGGAATCCCCGGATCTTCACCTGGTCGTCCGCGCGCCCCGTACACTCCACAATCCCGCTCGGGAGATAGCGCCCGAGGTCCCCAGAGCGATACATGCGGTCGCGGATACCCTTCCAGTACCTTGCCTCCGGGCCCGCGAGGTCCTCCACCGGGTGCATAATCGTGTCCCGGCGCCCCGACGGCGACCTCGTCGCTGTTGCGGAAAACCAGTTCTCCACAAACTTCTCGGCGGTGGCGTCGGCGTCGAGGTACCCCTCCGCGAGGCCGCCGGAGCGCACGTAGATCTCGCCGACCTCGCCGATGGCGCAGGGGACGTTGCGGTCGTTGCGGTTGACCACGAGGAGCTGCACGTCCACCATGCCTTGGCCCGCGGGCATGATGTCCTTCTGCGTCGCGAGGAACGTCGAGTCTTCCGCGATGGGCGGGATGGCGAAGTACGACACTGCGCGCTGCGTCTCGGTCGTGCCGTACATGTTGATGATGCGCACGTTTGCGGCGAGGGATTGGAGGCGGAGACAGTCGCGTTTGGTGAGGACGTCGCCGACGAAGAAGGCGTTTTGGAGGGAGGGGATTTGGCGCGTGGCTTGCGCGGAGAGGAGTTGGCCCATTGCCGGGGTGAGGTGCGTGACGGTGACCGAGCTCGCGGCCATCCATTCCGCGAGACGCCCTGGCGTGCCGATGTCGTCGGCGGTGGGGACGTGCAGCTGCGCGCCGAAGAAGAGGGGGGTGAACACTGGAATGAACTTGTCAGAGGAAAACCTGTACGCGGACGCAGAGACGCTCACTGTCGCGTTGGATGGGATCGTGCGCGATGCCGCTCAACATGGTAAACTTGGAGTCTTCATTCAAACCAAACCTTTGGCCCATCCACGGGAAAAAGTGAGTCAAGCTGAAATGACGCCCTTTGACGCCCTTGGGGATGCCCGTGCTGCCGCTGGTGAACGATAGTGTGCCGACGCTGTCCGGTCCGAGGGTGACGTTCGGGTCGATGTCGGCAAGGTGGAAGTGGGGCTGGAGCACGTCTGCTCCGCTTGCTCCGATCCCACCGGCGATGCCGTTTTCGGGGAGGACCTCCAGAGCAGGGACCTCGACGCGGATCTTCAGTTCTGCGGACAGGAACTCGCGGACTGAAGGGCTGATGGTGCCTGCGCCTTTGAGAACGACCAATCCGCGTGGTTGGGCGACACGGAGGTAGATTATCTGTCGTGAGGCAGGATAGGCCGGGTCTGGGTTGTCAAATATCATTCAGGAGAGGAGGTCATAAGAATTTAAAGTTGAGAGCTGACCGATAACTGAGAACGTAGCACCAGCTTTGAGTACAGCCATGACAGCGACGACGAGATCGACGCTGCGGTGTGCGTAGATCATGACGACCTCTTCTCTCTGGATACCCTCCTTGATGAGGTGGTGGGAGAGTATGTTGGCAGCATGTAAGATATGGCTGTATGTGAATGTGGCACGTTCCTGAATGTCGGAGAGCGATGCAGCCGGGATGCTCTGGACAACGCAAGGCCGGTCTGGCCATTGACGCGCGTTACGAGAAAAGACGTCAGTGATCGCTCCCTTCCAATCACACCAGTTGAGATTAGAGGTGGGATCAGGAAGCTTGGCTCTTTGTCCGGGCGTGAGAAGAGGGACGGCACCGACGGGCGAGAGAGGGACCGCGGCGACCTTGCGAAGGAGAACCGAGAGCTGATCGATAATGTAGGAGATACGGCTCGCGGTGAAGAGAAGGGAGTTGTAGATTATACGGAGCGAGATCTGCGGAGCCAAGGCTGAGCGCGTCGACACCGGGGGCCGGGTGACGAAGATTGTGAGATCGGAGGTCAGACTTGTCGATGTTATGAAGGTGTCTTGTGGTTTATCGGTTTCGTCAAAGAAACGAACACGGAAGATGGGGGATTCGAGGCCCTCGTCCTTGTCCTTGTTGAGTTCCTTGGTGAGGGCTTCAAAAGGCACCGCGTCCGCTTCGGCCTCTCTCTCGACCTGCTGCACACGTCGCACGACAGCCCAGAACGGGTCTGTGGGCTCCACTGAGAGGCGTAGAACTAGCGGATCTCGTTCGGTTGCGGAAGAAGAGCCAATAACGACATCGGTGTCTCCCGTGTAGCGATGCAGCAGCACAGTGAACGCTGCCAACAAAAGATGGAACGCGGAAGGTCTGTTTTCGTCGACGCCGTCGTCGTCGTCCACGCTCTCGATTTCGCTGTAGAGCGCAAGCTTGAGCAAGCTTAGAGATGTCTGTTCCGAAAGTTGTGCGACATGGGCTGCCTCGATGACCTTGTTCGCACCTGTCGGCCTGGGATAGTCGGTCGGGAGAGAGATGGAAGGAAGGCTTTGTAATCTCGCAACAACTCTGGCGAGACGTTCGTCCGCCATCGGTTGCAGATGTTATCAGGTCTCGCACAAATTTTTGTGGCACTCGCGAGATCTCCGCTTACTCAAATGATCAGTAATCTTATCGACCGGATGTGACCGAAATAATAGCCGGGCTTCCTCTGATTGGCAAAGTCATCTGGGACACAAAAGGTGTGGGAGTCAACGTCGCCGGATCTTCTCGAATGGCGAGCAACCAAGCGTTTTGTTAAGGGCGTCCTTGCCGTAGCCCGCGCTGTTACAGGTTGTTACAAAGTACCCTTACCGTCGCCCGCCTAGCTCAATCGGATAGAGCGTCAGACTTTTACGCTGATCAGAGCTATGGGCAGTAATATCTGAAGGCTGCGAGTTCGACCCTCGCGGTGGGCTACTATTCAAGTTTTTGTTTGACTTGCGAAACCTATCTCTTGCTCCATCGATAATTTCCTGATTGACTTGCGGAACCTATTTCTTGTTCCTTTGTGATATTAAAACAAACCCCGGCTAGAAGCTATGAGTCATACTGTTACGAGCTCTATGAATTCCTTTCTCGATTCCGCTAGACTGTCCATTGCCCATCAGGTATCTCGATCTTTAGCGATACCACTCGAAGCTGCTCGGGATGGTGTCGACTTTGGAAAGAAAGGTTGTGACTTCACCGTTGCTGTGCCGCGCTTTCGCTTGAGAGAAAAGCCTCATACATTGGTTCAAAAACTCGTTTCTGAGGTCAAACAATTCGTTTCCTTGCGTGTTTCAATGTTGACAAAGTATAGTTCCAAGCGGATGACTATGTCGAGTCGATTGTTGGAGATGGCATCTTCGTCCACTATCGGTGCCACACAACAAAATTGATTCGATCATCCTTGGATACAATATATAATCTTTCCCAACCAACGCCAACACATCCGTATGGTTCATATGGGACCAACGACTCAGGAAAGGGTCGCAAAGTGGTCATAGAGTTCTCGTCTCCGAACATCGCTAAGCCTTTCCATGCTGGTCACCTCCGCAGCACGATTATCGGGACTTTCATGTCGAATTTATTCCAGGCAAACGGCTGGGAAGTGATTCGCCTAAATTAGTATGTCTGGCTCGGTATATTTCAAACTAGTACACTCACCCTTGACTGTAGTCTCGGTGACTGGGGAAAGCAGTATGGTATGATGCTTCAGATTATTATTTTTGCTCCTCCTCAGATTTATCCAGGACTTCTCGCGGTTGGCTACAAACGTTATGGTTCAGAGGTGGAGCTCGCCGAGAATGCAATCATGCACCTATATAAAGTATATGTGGCCATCAATAAGGACGTCGAACAGGAAAAACAAGCAAGCACAGAGAAAGCAAATGAACAAAATAAAACGAGCGTTGATCCTGGGTATTCTGCTACAGATGAAGAAGCCAAACTCCTCTTCCGTAAAATGGAGCAAGGTCAGTGTCGGGCTCATGGGAATGTATCTCCTGACACGAAAGTTGTACAGGTGATGAAGACTCTCTCGCATTATGGCGACGATTCCGGGATTTATCTGTTAAAGCATATGAAGAATTATACAACCGACTGAATGTTCGTTTCGATGTGTATTCCGGCGAATCCTTGGTATCAGCAGAGGGTATCGCTCGGGCGATGGATACCTTGAAGAAGAAAAATCTTCTTACGACCAAGACGCTCGAAGAGAGCCGACGAGACCGAGGTACGGAGCCCGACGGGGCAAACACGACTGGGGACGCTGGTGACAATGATGTGCCCGCAAATGACGAGCTCGCGGACAGCGCCAGCGACGCGCCTCTTGCTCTTGCCGTTGATTTGTCGGAATGGAAGCTGGGGAAGCCTGTCGTCCAGAAAGCAGGTATGTCATTTTCACCTCTACAAGACCAATTCTCAATGAAAGATCGTGTAAGACGGTGCTACCATCTACATCGTGCGCGATATCGCCGGAGCTCTTCAACGATACGAAGAATATAAGTTCGATAAGATGATCTACGTTGTCGGAGACCAGCAAGATTTGCACGTGGCGCAGTTTTTCAAAATCCTCTCTCTCATGGATGCACCATTCGTCGATCGTCTCGAGCACGTCAATTTTGGAAAAATACATGGTATGAGCACACGGAAAGGCGAAGTGAAGTTTCTGGAAGATATATTGGACGCAAGCAAAGAAGCCATGCTTGCCCAAATGATGAAGAATGAAGATAAAGCGCGGGAGATTAGCGATCCATCTTATTACAGTGATCAGGTCGGAATGACTTGCGTGAAGATCCAGGATATGCAGGCTAAGCGGTAAATCTTGCGCCAAGTTTCAGACTGTCGGCTGATCATTGCAACCAGGATACATTCATACCACTTTGATCTGCAACGTATGACCTCCTTCGAGGGTGACACTGGCGCTTATCTACAGTACGCACATGTTCGTGTTTCTTCCATTCCACGAAAGGCTGCCCCAGGACTTGTACTTCGCGACGATCCTTCCCTTATCGACACATCGTTGTTGATAGAACCAAAAGCTCGTGAACTTGTTTTCTTGTTGGCTTGTTATCCCGACGTTGTTAAAGCTGCCATGAAGAGTTATGAACCATCTACGATCGTGTCTTATTGCTTTAGGTAAGATTCTCCCCACTCCTGTTGGTTAAGCTTATGACTTCCGTCCGCTTCAGGCTGAGTCATGTCGTCAGCTCAGCTTGGGAGACACTGATCGTTATTGGTCAAGATGAAGAGGTCGCTCAAGCTCGACTGTTCTTATTTACCTGTACACGCTTCGTTTTGGCAAGTAGTATGCGTCTCTTGTCTCTGACGCCGGTTGATAGGATGTAACTCATTGTGTATGAGATTTATGTTGAGATATGCTCACAATGTCACCTTGTCTATCGACTTCCGATTCAAAAACAAGCCTGAGACAAACGAAACAGCGTAAGATGACGCGACAGTGCAGTTGGGCTCAACAGACCAGGGATGGGTCGTTGCATGCACGGCGAATAAGATAGGCGAAAGCACGTGTCGCATACTGGACCTGGTTCGAGAACGTCGACTGCACCAAATTCTGAAGTATTATTCACGCCGGCGGTCCATTTGATGATCTAGAAAAGTTAAACTCGATCGCATAGTCCCGAGTGCCAGTATCAAAGGACCCGTTTAGCTGCCAGCCTGGTGGATCTGGTAATTCCTCGATATTCCAGAAAGTGAAAGTTGTAGGGGTGATGCATCCGACAAATGATACGTGGCAAGTAAAACAAATCCTGAGATCAGGACTCGGTTTTTATTCCTGCAACTTGAGTGTGCACAGTCAAGTGGGTCTCTGCACGTGACGTGATCAGGACGCCGATGAACCCTTTTAGAAACAAAGACACCACTTCACCAGAGACTTACTCATTCGAGTCAAGAGGATTATATGCCCAAGCTAAGTTTCGACGTCGATGAAGCTACCCTACTCAAAGCCTATAATATATCAAGTTTGAAGCCATCGTAAGCTAAACGTTCATTCGACCGGTGGATCAAGTATACATGTCTTAGTTGCGTAGAAAATGGGAAGAGATTGATCACGAACTCGAAAATTCAGTGGCGGGTGCATTAACGAGTACTTCTGGTGACGGAGAAGGAGATCCCTTGGGCCTCGGTGGTTATGTGAAGTGGGTTCATACCTAATGTCTTGGTCTACTGTTAATTACGTTATTATGTTTCTAGTGTCAAGGAGATGGACATGGAGCAAAGTGAGTGCAATACAATATGAGAGAAGACTGTTGAGCCTGATACACGAGCAAGAGGCTGCTGTTCTCGTTACCTCTAAATCTTTCGACCCAAAGGCCTTCTTGTCTGTTGTTCACCCCAACGCAACGTATCAAGATCTCGTGCAAGGTATTGCGCAATTAGAAGCGTCAATCGATGCGCGATCCGAAGCTATTCGAGTGCTGGTTGAGGAAAACTTTGACCGTTTTGTCGCTGTAAAAGCCGCAAATGATGGTACATTTATCATGAATATTCAAAGTTGTCCTCCTTACACTACGTCTAGCCCTCTTTGCGGAGATGAAGGAAGGTCTTCTCTCTCCTGAGTCGGACTACGCGTCAAGGCCGCTACGAGATCAACTGAAGCGTATGTCTAAATCATGTATACAATGTTCAAAAGTCCACGATGTTGTTTCTCAGAGGCTGCGAAGAAGGCAAATCAAGTCTTCCTTCCCGTCCTTGAAAATGCAGCCAAGGCCCAAAGGCTACGAACGACCCTTCGCGTGTTTGAGAGGTCGAAGTTCTTTTTCAATCTTCCAAGTTCCATCATTGAGTCCATTGAGGCGGTGAGGTTATCAATATTTTCCGAGTCTTTTTGAAACCAATTACTATGTCAGGGTCGTTATGATTTAGCCATCCGCGACTATAAGAAAGGGAAAATGCTACTTGAATCGAGGCCTGGCCAGCTCCTACCTTCTGCAGCATTAAAAGAAGGGCAAACTGTTGCCTCTGGTGATCCACAACAACGACGAATCCTTGAGAAAGTCTGGGGAAGTGTGGAGAAAGCTTTGGGTGAAATGAGAAATGTTCTCGTTGCACAGCTCCAGGATTCAAGCAGGACTCTGGAGGAGCATGAAAAGACGATTGAGTATTGTGTACTCTGCTGTTCCTCTTTTCTTTCTGTTCACAAACTTTTCAAGGGTGCTCCTTGACTTGCCGGCTGGTGACGATCCTATATGGATATATTTCGATAGTCAGCATAAACATATACTTGAGGCGATGAAGAAGACGTACCTGTTTGGAACTGCGGTGATCCAGTGTAAGCTTCTTGCTCAGAGTTTCGATCAGTTTCAGATTATGCGACAGCGGCGATTGAGACAACGGCGCTTGAAAATGAACCAGGAATCCTTGCGTCGCAAATTGCAGGACAGTTGCAGACGGCGATGATAGCACTCGAGGGAAAGCAGACAGAATCTATTGTCGGTGGGGGTTTTTTTCCCCTTGTCGCCTCATTATGCTTCCTAACCTCAAGCTGCTGATTAGCCCGGTCTTCAGCCGAGAGCGTCTGGCAAACTGTCCATGACATGATCAAGAGTGTCTCCGAAACCATGTTGTCAACTCTACCTGGTTTCTGCAAAATCTCTAAGAATCTCATGGAAGGTAAGTACCGCAAGGTCAGTATAAGACTGTATCTATTCTCGTTCCTCTTCAGCTGAATAATTGTAGCATCAAGGTTCGAACACAGGAAGTCGACGTAGCCCCACCCAGAGTCGCACCATGGCTCTAGACGTCGTCAAATACTATATATCCCTAATTTCCGGGTTTTTCACGTTATCAGACATGGCTGTAATGTCGCACAACTTAAACAATCCCTTGCCCTCCAATCTCCCTCAAGATAGCCACTCTCTATCAACAGCCCACTATCTGATGAAGGTCCTCGGCGAGCTTCAGGAGACGGTCA